CACGAATCATGGCTCCAAAACCTTTATCAAGATCCCTGTATATTCTGAATTCACTTACCTAATGATTCCAACTGTATTTCTACCAAAATACAAGTAATCATTAGTTGAGTCCTTAAAGTATTTGAATATTCATTGTACTGATTTATAATGTTCCTTTTCAAGATTTGTCATGTACTTACCAACTGCTCCGATTACATGTCTCAAATCTAGTCTTGTACAAGTCATAATATACATTAGTGAACCAACTGTATTGGAATAAAAAACCCAAGGTATATAATCAATGTCTTCGTCTCGATTGAGAACATGTAACACCCCGAACTTTTTTTACAAGTTTCATATGGGCCTAAACTTAATATGAGTCACTTAGCAAATGAAATAATTCATGTCTAGATTTGTCGTCACATAAAAGTCCAAAAGTTGATGATTTATTTTGCTCATGTGTACTTAGAATTTATCGTAAATCTTATATGGGTCGTATATTTTCGTACTCTAGAAGTTAATAAAATATATCAATATTATACTCATTTTGTACCTCGTGTTGAATAATATAAATTAGCTCAAGAAGAAATAATTTTTGGGATTAGCCAAATTCGAGATATCTTGATAGAAAGAAAATTACTCTAATCCTATATTTTGTTAATTAAAAAATACACACACACACACACACACACATATATATAATAGTAGCCTCCGGGACATAGTCCAGTGGTGCAAAGGATGGGAGTGAGATTATCTCATACCTTACTGGCAGCCACAGTGTAGGGGTTCGATTCCTAAGACATAGAATTGAACTCCTTTTAAGCGCAGTGTAAAGGCAACTCTTGTTCCTTGACCTGTTGGGAGCACAACCTGCGATTTACCACCCTCAATAAGCTCTAAGGGAGGAGCGGTGGGGGCCCTCAAGATTGGGGTTCAGCTTTTTTTTTTTTTTTTAAATATATATATATAATAGTAAAATGAAGAATGGGACGTTTCTTGAGAATTGGAAAACATAAAGTCAATCATTTTTTTGTAATTAATATAATAAATTAACTTTTTCAACTTTTACACAAACATCCCATCAATGAATATTAATTTACAGACTCACCATGATTGATTGAAATAAAAAATAGACTATTGAAATCCCATAACGTGTGTGGTGGTTGGTATTCATAGTTACTGGCAAGTGAATATTATGGCCCTATTTGAGCCCCATTTTTATCTCATTAAAATGAAAAATATGATCGTTATCCATCACATCAAGTCATCATTTTTTTATTTCTATCCCTTGTGTGGGGCTCATAACGGCTCTATTTTTCATTCTTATTCTACAAATGATGTGGCTCAAACAGGCTCTATATATAAAATGTTTGAGAAGTGTTTTTTTCCTTTACATAATTCATACGTGAAAACACACATATTAAAAAGAGATATTATTTTATTCACAAACTGTTTTTAGAATTTTTGATATCATTTGATGTAAGAAAAGTGCAAGTGGTTAATTCTTATTTTCTTGATATTTTTATAATTTTTGGCATGAATTACGTTAAGGCCTTTAAGCCAATTTTTATGTTAAATCCTACTGGATGGATCGTTTGGTCAAAGATATTAAATCCTATGGGATATGTGGATTCTTAAAAAATTCCTTGAACTCTAAATCTAAGAAATGTTGATATGTTATATCAGTTTTATATTTATATCATGTAAATAAGAATGTTGACGTATTTTTATTGAGTGTTTTCTAAATACTCACGCTCACTAAAAATTTTCATATTAGAACGGATCGTGTGGACGTGTGGAAGATTGACCAAGTGATGCTTATAAGACCGACAATTAAATTTTCTAGAAAATATAATTGTCAAACTTTAATTTGAAGAACATCTTCATATTGAATTTTGTGCACATTATTTAATAGCTATTTTTATATATTTTCAACACTTAATGAAAGTGATATTTCCGCTTAAATCAGACAAAGAGGATGTTGGTAACACATAGAGCTATTTTTTATTTAATAATAATAATAATAATAATAATAATAATAATAATGAAAAAGATCTTGGAGCATTATAGAATGATATCAAAGCACGAGTTTAGTCGATTCTATAGACTCGTTATTTTAAAAAAAAATATATATATATATAATTTTTTTTTTTTTAAATCACATTTACGTGTGATTTACATATATAAATTATTTTGAAGACTTAGTAGTCTGCAGGAAAAAAAATTATGACACTATAATACATTAATGTTTCTCTTCATTTCAAGTTTTACAATGTAACTTTATATTCATTGATATATATTAGTCCTTATCTACGTTAAGGACGAGTTATTTGAAGAAATATGCTTTTAGGTAGGAAAAAATATTTCTTAATATATATATTTTTTAAATTATGTGTTGTAAGGATTCAAATTTCACGTGATTATTCACTAATTATATCCTCATAAAAACTACATGTTATTAAACTTTTAATGTATCGTAGTAGTTAAAAAAAAATAAAAAATTGTTCTATATGTAATGAGGTTTTAATTAAATCTTAAACAAGTATTAAAATAAAACCCATGACATCTAGCGCTCGTCAATCTATTACCGTTCGATGAACCCAAGGTATGAATGAAATATTATGTTTCATTATATTTTCAAGCATGATATATGAATCATTTAAACTTGATTTCAAGAAATGCTTATGATGTTTAGAATGAATTATGTTATGCAAGTTAATATTTTGTTTAATATACATGAATGTATGATGATTGGTCATTATATTAAAAGAACAAGAACAAAATGTATAATTTGTTATCACTAACAAAGATAAACCATAATTGAACATTTATGTGTTATACATGGCTAGAACTTATGAGACCACTAGAAATATTAGAGTTTTTCGACTAAATAAGATAATTTCGAGAACAAAATTAATTTAAGGGGGAATGGATGTAACACCCAGAACTTTTTTTAGTATTTTCACATGGGCTTAAACTTAATATGGGTCACTTAACAAATGAAATAATCCATGTTTAGATTTATCGTCACACTAAAAGTCCAAAGGTTGAAGCTTTCTTTTGCTCATGTGAACTTAGAATTTATCGTAAATCTTATTTCGGTCGAATATTTACGTACTCAAGAAGTTGATAAAATATATCAATATTATATTCATTTTGTAGCTTGTGTTGACTAATATAAATTGTTTCAAGAAAAAATAATTTTTAGACTAACCATATTCGAGTTATCTTGATAGAAATAAAAATATATATATATATATATTGTAAAATGAAGAATGGGACGTTTCTTGACAATTGGAAAGTATAAAGTCAATCATTTTTTTGGTAATTAATATAAAAAATTAACTTTTTCGACTTTTACACAAACATCCCATCAATGAATACTAATTTACACACTCACCATGATTGATTGAAATAAAGAATATGCTATTTAAATCCTCTAACGTGTGTGATGATTGGTATTCATAGTTAGTGACAAGTGAATACTATATATAAAATGTACGTGTTTTTTTTCCCTTTTACATACACACATTCACACGTGAAAACACACATACTAAAAAGAGATTATTTTATTCACAAACTGTTTTCAGAATTTTTGATATAATTTGAGGTAAGAAAAGTGCAAGTGGTTAATTCTTATTTTCTTGATATTTTTATAATTTTTAGCATGAATTATGTTAAGGCATTCTGGTCGATTTTTATGTTAAATTTGACAGGATGGACTGTTTGGTCAAAAATATTAAATTCTTCGAAATTGACCGTTAGATCAAAGATGTTAAATCCTACGAGATGGATCGTTTGGTCAAAGATGTTAAATCCTACGGGATATGAGGATTCTTAAGAAATTTTTTGAGCTCTAAATCTAAGAATGTTGGTATATTATGTCAGATTTATATTTATATCATGTGAATAAGAATGTGGACATATTTTTACCGAGTGTTTTCAATATACTCATTCTTACTACAAATTTTCAGGTCAGAACGAGTCGTGTGGATGCGTGGAAGATATAAAAAAAGATAAACATATTCAATTAACTATTTAAATGACATGCCTTTGAATAAATTAAACTAACTAATAAATTTTAAGGTAGAAAGACTTAATGTGTATTTTTCCTTTTTCTTTGATCCATTTGGCACCTGCAACACCATCTTGCCGCAATTCCAATCAATCCGCACTAACTTATAAAATTATTGTAAGAGTGTATTTAAAAATACCCAATAAGATGTGCATAGATTTCATAAACAATAAATTAAACACTCCATACTACATTACTTATGGAGTATATTGATAATCATGCGACACACCTATTAGTAGTGTTTTGAATTTTCGAAGGTTTTCACATTTCGTTATAAAGAACCCAATAGAGTTCCCATTCCGTTAGGTTAAACACCGAAGGTCCACTGACAATTCATGCATAAATCATTGAACATAAAAATGTACAGAAATAAACCACTTGCACAAAAGTATTTTACCTCGTTAGATCAACCAAATTTTTAAAAGAAATATGAATTCGCGTTTTAATTTCTTTTCTTAAATCTCTCTGCCATTGTGTTAAATTTGTGGTGAATAATGGGACCATCGCATGGTATTTATGGTTGAAATAATAAAATTTTGAAACAATTGAAATAGAGATGTCGTATTTCATTAAAATTGGTTAGGATAATTTTCAATATGTAGGTAAAGTATAAATATCTAAATAATTGCACGTTAAACCACTTAATCTAAAATCTTAAGTTTATTTATTTTAATTCAATCTAAAATAGGTACCAACCTTAAAAAAAGTCAAAAGCTATAAACTTTTGCATGCATGACTAATGACCGAAGTACATATTGCACAAGGTTCATATTTCTCTTTACTCACCACCACCCCTACCCCTACCCCTCCCTTATACCAATTGCTGGCATGAAAATTGCAAACAATCTAATTAACTGAGAACATAATTGAGTATATTCTTAGAAGACAAAAGTATGTATATATAGCCCTTCATGGCACTCCAAATAAGCCACAACCAAATCTTCTTATTTCAAATTCATATTTATCTTTTGCTCAGAAACAGTTATGGATCTTGCACTCTCTACAATTCTATCCGACTCGAGGGATATAAAAAATTTCGTTGTCGATGAAGGTCATGGAGTTAAGGGTCTTTCTGACATAGGCCTTCAAACACTACCCAAGCACTATATTCAACCTCCTCAAGAACAGATCTCTACCAGCACTATACTAACTGAGGAGTCCATTCCTGTCATTGACATGTTGAATTCGAATGAACAAATAATAGCAGATATGATATGCAATGCAGCAGAGAAATGGGGTTTCTTCCAAATTGTCAATCATGGGATACCAATGCAAGTGTTGGAGAATGTGAAGAATGCAACTCATAAGTTCTATGGATTACCAGCTGAAGAGAAGAAGAAGTATTCAAAAGGGGAATCGCCTACAAATAATGTACGCTACGGTACAAGCTTTTCTCCTCGAGCAGAGAAGGCTCTGGAGTGGAAGGATTGGCTTAGCCTCTTCTATGTTTCTGATGAAGAGGCTGCTGCATTTTGGCCTTCCATTTGCAGGTTATGGTGAAATTCTACGTCATTAATTTCCAATACATGTGGTCATGTGTATATGTATGTATGTCATCACGCATGTTTACACGATAGCAACAAAAAAGTAAGCTTTATTCTCAATAAATTTGATTGGAAATATGAATCCCTTACTAGCGGAATTATTTAAATTCATTCTTTAATTTTGTTTGGCCATACGTCGTCAACTTCAGTTTCCATCTACCAAGGACAAATTATTAACCAACATTTATCTGTAGGGATGAGGCATTGGAATACAGGAAGAAGTCTGAACATGTTATCAAGAAGCTGTTGGAGATTTTAATGAAAAGATTAAATATAACTTGTATTGATGAAACCAAGGAATCTCTTCTAATGGGTTCAACGAGGATTAACCTTAAGTACTATCCCAAATGTCCAAATCCCGATCTCACAATTGGTGTAGGGCGCCACTCAGATGTTTCAACACTGACCATTCTCCTACAAGATGAAATTGGTGGCCTTTATGTGAGAAAACTAGACACTGATTTTTGGATCCATGTCCCACCAATCGATGGATCTCTCGTGATTAACGTTGGTGATGCACTTCAAATTCTGAGCAACGGTCGATACAAGAGCATTGAGCACCGAGTGACTGCTAATGGGAACAACAATAGGATTTCAGTGCCTATCTTTGTGAACCCTAAACCTAGTGATGAAATTGGTCCTCTGGCAGAAGTTTTGCAGAACGGGGAAAAACCAATATACAAACAGCTTCTATATTCGGAGTATGTCAGACACTTTTACAAGAAACCCCATGATGGCAAGGAAACTATTGATTTTGCGAAAGTGCAGTAAAGGTGATAGAATACGGTAACCCCTTCTGCAACAGAAAGAATAATGAACAATAAGGGGAACTAATGTTAGCCAATCAAGAATTTAGCTCAAGCTTCGAATGATGCTAAAGTTTAGTTTGTGTTCTATATTTCTCTTTTGAAGAATAATAATGTTCTTCTCCACATACATAGGATTGGTGGTGGAGAGGGGTGTGTGTTTGTGTTTTGAGGTTTGGGGGTGGGGGTGGGGGTACGTTGTGCTATTCCCATATCTGTACCAAATTGTATTACTCTGTCTTGCATTATAATAATATTCACAAGAATATGGATGTAAATGTGTGTATATAAACACCGTTAAAGAGGTCTGACAAGTAAAAAAAGAAGGTGTGTTGAGCCACAAGATGGACAGCAACATTGTACTATGACTACATCAAGCTTCATAGGACGGACATAAATAGTATTTAAGTAAATCTCATAATACAGTAATCCAAATTAATCCAGTAAAGATACGTTACATGTCATAAACACGATATATTAACTTAAACAGAACATCAAGATACAGAAACACCACAATTAGGCGAAGGGTTCATTACAGAGAACTGGGTTTACCAATTATTTGCCACTACAACATTAGGATATCCTCAATCAGCATCATGACCTCTACCTTGCAAATCGTCGGGTCCACTCGGCTTCTAGTTCGTCACGCTTCACTTTGTCTGCCAAGTACAGGTGGGCCATACTTGGTACGGGGGGTTTATCTGCATGAGCTAAAAACTAGAAATTAAAAATTAATAAAAATATACAAGTGTCGCTAATTTAGCCTCTCTTTGGCAAATCTAAAAATTATTTATAAATAGGAACAGTAACAGGAATAATAATGGGTCCACGAAATGTGTAGATAATAAATGAGTAGTATTTATGACGTATGACTGAAATTAATGTCTGATTTGATAGAAGTTATAAATGATTTATAGATTGTGTATCCAAACGGAGGCTAAAGCCAGGAGTTAACAATTTAAAACTGCCTTCAATGCTCTTTCTTTTCCTCAACACTGCATCCAAGTAGGAAATCATCAAGCCAGTAAATCTGCAGCTGCACAACATTAAACAAATTAGGTTATTTATAAGAAAAATGATTTCGATAATTGAATCTTGTTACTTTTCTCGAATTCCAAACATTAGCTTGGATATCAGAAAAAGAAATAAAAACATAAGCTAGTTATAATGACTTAGAAACTTGAGGGCTGCTAGATTTCTTGGGTGCCAAAACAGCCCTCTTTTCCAAATGGGTTGTGCTGTGTGTACACAATGGTGTACACATAACTTTATACCTCACTCACATGAAGAGAGGCCCACATGTAATAAAATATGCGTGGGCACCTCACCATGTGAGGGGGGTGTAAAGCTGTGTGTACACCACAAGGTGTACACATAGCTTTTTCCTTTCCAAATAGGCACCCTGAAAAATCTAGGGCCTATGTGGCCTAGAATGAGAAGGTTATCCCTAGAAACTTTCGGCATTGAGGAAAGGTGTATGTATCCCAATTATGCCAAACCGACCAGTGTTTCTATCAAATTTCTTTCTCTATTATAAACATCAATTTTAAAGATTGTGTGCATTGTTTACATTACTGACACCTATTCCCAATAATTTACTCTCTTTATTGACAAAATGTTTTGATTTATCTACTATAACACTCTCGTCACGAACATATGTTACTCTACTAATAATAATCATATGTTATTGTAACCAATATATTTTCTTGGTTGTCGATTGATAATTATACCCAATACTTGATACTTTGTTTATTATTGGTTAAATATATTCACACTATAGTTTTTAATAACTAGATTATGACTTAATAGCATAAAAGGTTAATAACATTTACACATTATTCCATTTAAGCCTCAAATTATTTTTTTTCATTGTATTCTTATTCTCAAATTAACATAAATTGTTCTTGATTATGGATTCATGAGTTTTCTCTAAAATTTTACTTGAGATGGAGTAAAAAATCTCATTTATTCATTGTATTTTTTAATAAACAAAACAATAATACAAAATAAATACGATTAGATATTTGAATATCATTTTAAAGCACGATAATGATATTTTTGAACGAAAATATGATTAAGGACAACATTTTCTAATTAATAAATTGATAAAAATAAGAATGTGATGAAGAAAAAAGATAAGGATATAAGTGTGATAATTAATAAAGGTTAATGACATTCAATGCAATTAAAAATGTAGCATATTATAAAAAAAAGTAGTCATTATTTGGATTCTATTTTTTCGAAAACTTATTTTCCAATCACATATTCTCTGATAAATAATTTTATACATAAATCTTAAAAAAAAAAAAAAAAGCCTCTGTTTGATGTCCATTAAAAAAATTTTGTTTTTAAGTGCTAAATATTTTATTACAAGAATGTGTGGTTGAAATGAGCTTTTGAAATATGTTTTTGAATATGACAAATCAATATGAGCTACTTTTTTAAGTGAAAATTACACCTCTACCCTACTTTCAAAGATTAAATATTCTAAAATCAGGGTGAGAGTTTCATTATTCAAAAATCGGATGTAAATTAAGTTAAACTATTTATTCACCGCACCCCATCCCATTCATCTCAACTTTAGCCCTTGCTTGAGTCACATTATTTTCATATGAATGTATTTTTGAATACTGTATTGATGAAAAATGTGTGATTGAAAAATAAGGAAAAATAAATTATTGAAATGATGTCAAATCACTGCTTAAAAAAGTATTTTTGAAAGAATATGTGTCAAACAAGGAGTTAATCGCAAACCCTAATTTATTTCTCCCTCACTTCTCTCTCTATTCTCACTCCCCGACGATTTTCTCGACCACTTCTCTCCAGCGTCGCACCAACAATCAATCATTGTTTATGTTTGTAGTTGTCAACTTCGTGACAGCTCGCAACTGCTATGAACTTTATAGAATAGCAACATCGACACTGATGTTGCGACAACAGCAATGTCCACTTGGGTGGTGGAGACTGGACAGGTGATGGTAGGGATAAAACTAGTGGTGAGAGTGAGTAGATCGCTAGTATTTGTAGTTTTGGTGTCGAAACGGAGATGGAACCAACACAGCCTTAGTTGGTGGTGTTAGCTTCGGACGTGGTGGCGATCCCACTTCGGTAATGGAGGTAATAGAATTCTGGCTGTGATCTGGTGGAGATCTGTAGCAATCCGAAAATTTTAGGATAAAATTTATTTATTTTATATATTATATATTTACATTTTTTAAAGTTGAGGACTAAAATGAAAAATGTTTTAAATTTCTATTTTATTTGTTTCAAATAATTAGATATTGATAGAGTGAGATTTAGTATATCGATATTGGATTCATTTTGTAGGTTGTAATTAGTTAGAAGTCTTTGATTCGAGAAAAAAATTATTTCGGGTAAGAACACATTAAGTTAAACCCAATTGAAAGATAATAGGATAAACAGAATTTTATATAAGTTATAATTTCAATTCAATTTCTCTCTCCAAAACGTGTGAGATGGATATTGAATTTTATTTTTATTATTAGTTAAATATTAACCATTTTGAATTTGATGTGATAGCAAGTGTCCTATTTGGATAACTATGAATTTGATATTAAAATATAATCTAAATACCTAAACTTAGTTTTATCCAATAGGGTACACGTTTTCTATAATAACTCAACAACTTTTTATTATTATAAATACTATACAATGGTATCATATTTCACCACACCAAAAATTTATACACACGTGAGAGAGAGATATGATACTTTTGGAAATTAGAAGATAAGAAGCCAATTTCCAACCATTGTTGACTAAAGCAGAGAAAAGATTTTGGGCACGTGCATTCATATTTTGTTCAATAGTTTATTTTATTTAGCAAGATAAGATACTTTATGTTCAAGTTTTTTCGTTTCCTTATGCTTTTATATGCAATTAAATATGCATGGATTGCCGTGGACATTCGTTTTTCTTAAAAAAAGATATGAAATCCTACGGGATTATAAGAGGACCTAAGATGGGTGTGTCGCTTAATCACCGATATACTCCTCAAGATCAGAGTAGTATGAAGTGTATGATTTTTATTGTTATATATTTGTATATGGAAACTATATGTATCTTGTTGGGTGTTTTCGAATATTCACTATTACAAATTTTTACAGGTTAGTTTGGGTCGATTGGACTGTGGTGAATTGGTGACATAGACTGCCAAGTGAATCAAATAAAGGAAACAGGAAATAAACAAGTAGTTTGTTGTTATGCTATTTTTATTTATTCTTTTTATTGTTTGCTTTAATTGTTCAAAAGATTCACTTGTCTTATTAGTCATTTGATTATGCATAAATCTTTAGAAACTCAAATCCTATGTATTTAGTTTATGTTTGGTTGAAAATGAAGAATTTATTTTATTTGTGTCATTTCACATTTTATAAAAAGGAAAAATCAATTTTTCGTAATACCCCGGTGTTTATGAAAATATGGAGCATTACAAGATCTATAGCAGCAACAATCTAGCCGTGAATAATGGGATCTAGCCGTGATTTGCATCAGCGGCTATGACAAGAATTTGAGGGAAAAATATGGCTTTGGGCCACTGTGCAATATACAGTGGTTGACAGCTATTATACAATGTTTATTTGACGATGTTTATGTAGTGGGACGATGATTATGTAAAGTAGTGGTGTTTTTTGTTGGTTGATGTTGGTTTGTTTGGATGGTGGTGGGGCTGTTGATTGTTATGAGGTGATGATGGTTGTTTTGGCAATGGAATATTAGCGGTAGTGATGCCAAAGGTAGTGGTGAGGTGGAGGTTGTCACAGATTATTTGGTTGATTATGATCAATAAATAATATGTCACCGAAAATAGATAATTTGTGACCAGTAAATAACACGTAACTTGAATTTGTTAAGCCCCTGTTTAATCCCCATTAAATTAAATTAAATTACATTACATTTCATTTTTCTCTCTCCTATTTTCTATCACACAATCTTTCATAAAATAATATTACACGTAAATCAAAAACTTTTCCTTTTTTTTCAACCACTCATTTTTCTAAAAAATACTATTCCCCCATTTTCATTTTCAGGTAATGGGGATCAAACAGGGGCTAAGTTGTGACAAGTAATTTGATAATTTGTGATTGAAAAATAATTTTTGACTAATTAATTAGATATTTCGCGACTTGTAAAATTTGTGATTTGTGACCAATGAATAATATATTATCTATTAATTTGATAAATTTGTGACTGATGAATAGATTGTGACTTATAAAACTTTTGATTTGTGACCATAAAATAATTTGTAACCTATAAATTTTTTTTATTGCGACAAAGATATAATTTATGACCAATTAATTCAATAATTGGTGACCAAATTATATAGAATTGTGACTTTAACATATTTAATTAATAAAATATATGTTTAATTAATTATCTTATAAATTAAATTTTAAAAAAATCCAATTTTTGAGTTTCGAAAGGTGCATACTTAATCTTTTATATATGATTTTTTTTTAACTACACATTTTCAAAAAAATTATTATTCTAAATCATATTTTCGTAGGGATGTCCAACTAGCCGATTGGCTCGAACAGCCCCTCGACTCGTGAAAAAACTTGACCTGGCTCAGCTCGTGGCTTACTGGACCTAGCCAAACCCAATTTTCGGGCGACGCCCTGTACAACAAGCCAAAATGGTCTCGACATAAGTCTGTGTTTTGCCTGCAAAAGGTAGTACAACTTTACAGGGAAAAAAAAAACACAGCCGATTCAATAAGGCTCGAGCCTATTTTTTGTCGGGCCGTACATGAACCGCATGCTTCGGCTCACGAGCCCATTCATTCACATCCCTACATTTTTTCTAAAAAGGGGATCAAAAGCTCGCGACTTGTGCGTGGCCCGACTCATTTATGTCCCTATATTTTCTCTAAAAGGAGGTCTAACAAGGGCATATGAATATAACCGCCCATTAATATCTTGAGGGTGTTCGGTGGTATTAAAATTAGGCTTTTTAGTAGATTGTGATAAAATTTTTGAAATGTGTGATTGGAAAATTGTGAGATCTATAAAAGATGTGGTTAATATTGTTCATTTGACTTTGATTTAAATTAAAAGAAGATTTTAATCCAAACCACACCGTGTGATTTTGTCCAATCATTTATTAGCGGGTATTTTTGCAATAAAGTTAAAAAGGGAGGGTATTTCAGTCAGTTCACTCCACTATTTGGTTTCACCTCCACCTTTCCCACTACGACGACACACCTCTTGAGTTCACTTTTCCTCCACCACTCTCTGAAGCAAAATCGACGTCGTAATAGAACAAAGCCAATAAGTAAAGAACCCCCAAATTCTAGGGTTTCTTAGAGGGAGAGAGAGATCCAATTCTGATGGATGCATCGGTGCCATCGATTGCTCATGGGAACATCGACGAGCAAATCTCTCAGCTCGTGGATTGCAAACCCTTACCCGAACAAGATTTATTCTCATTTTGTTTTGTAATTCCTTAGGTTCTCGAATTTTGTGATCCGATTTGTGTGATTTGAAATTCAAGAATGAAAAGTGTGGAGTTTTAATTTTTTCAGGGCGCTTGGGTTGAATTGATCTGAAGTTTATTCTCAGATTTTTTATTTTTATTTTTATTTTTTAATGATTTAAATTTTAGATATATCGTTGCACATCTTTCTTAAGAGAGAAAGCGACGTTAACAATGTATAGTGCCTGCCATAATTATGTTTTCCCATTCTTTTATCTTATGTAAACCATTGAAACCAACACCAGGAGATGCATTTCTTTTTACTAGGAATCCTGTATTCAAACAGGGCATGAGTCGCATGACTATGCTTTGTCGCGACTATTTTCATTTCCAATTCACACATTATCTTCTTCTGTTTCCTTTTATATGGTCAAGAAGGTTGTCTGTTTCAAAGAAAATGGTATTTATCAATAGCTTTGTTCATGTGTAGGTGAGGTCAGTATGTGAGAAGGCCAAGGAGATCCTAATGGAAGAGAGCAATGTGCATGTGTGCCACTTTTCATCATTTTTCTTATCATTGCTGTTGCCAACAGAATGTAACTATGAGTTACCCGTGTTTCTTTCCACTGAAACTACTTTTTTTATTTCATTTTTAGATGATATATTGCTATTGCCACTGTAACCTTCTTGTCCTGTGCATCGTTGGAATATTTTCTTTCTAATGAGAATTGTCATTGTAATTAGTGGTTAGGCTTAAACTTGCTTTTCTGTGCTGACAGTGAAATTGAAGTCTTTGATCATATTTTTGTGACAAGCACTTTTATTACTGCAGGAGGCCTTTTACTAAGAATGATAGGAAAACCATTAGATTAATTCCTTGTTTTTCTTTTGAACCTATGTTCCTTGTGACGATAGTGTAAAACATATTTGCCCCTTCCTGAAACAATTTCTATCTTATGGAATGTAAAGTGTTATGTGCTAAAACTCAGGTCATAGCTGCTAGAGGAGGTTCTTTGCATGAGTAGCCCATCAACTAAAACCACCAATAGGAAATTACTTTATTTGCAGGAAAATGAGTTGAAGGACTTTTGAAAACTGAAATTATAATAGTTCTTTCTCCTTGTATGGTTCTTTATTGCTTATTTTGTTCAACACTGTCTAGTTCTTAGATACCTTAATGTTGACAAAATTTTTAACTGATTTCATGTTTCCTTATTATAGCCTGTGAAAAGCCCTGTCACCATATGTGGTGATATTCGTGGGCAAGTCCATGACCTTGCAAAGCTTTTTCGAATTGGTGGAAAGGTATGTGCTTATTTGCCTCTCTCTTGAAAGGATTAAGCCTCTTATGTTACAATTGTGTTTGTCCCAAAAAGATCCCATCCCTTATTATCTTAGCTTGAATTAATACATCTATCGTTGTCCTTTTTTATTGGTTGACAGTGTACCGACACAAATTATTTGTTCATGGGAGATTATGTCGATCGTGTATACTATTCAGTTGAAACAGTAACAGTGTGTTTCAAAATTTCCTATCTTGACTATAATCATGCTTCTGATCAAAGATCTCTAATGTGACAAGCGACGGTCTAGTAAACTAACTCATTATCATAATTCATATTTATTGCACATCACTTATTACTTTCTTCATCCGCCTGTTGAGCATAGGCCGCTTATAGGATGTGGGGTGTGGAAAATGTCTCTTTGAATTATTAATACACCAAAAAGCTCTGGGTAGAAAAGAAATTACCAGTGCAATCAGCAATATATTTAGAAATGTAAATAGTGGATTAGATGGAGACAAACATGTATCCTGTAAAGCAGCATATAAACCTGACAAAGCTTATTCAGATGATCAGTGTGGAAGTTTATAAGCCAAAATTTTGTGTTTCTATGCTCAAGTTATGGTATGATAACTTGCACTTGTCCTCCAATTCGTCAATAATGAAGAAATCAAAATTTTATAATAACTTCTACTTGCATTTGTATGTGCACATTTATCAATTGTGAATATTGTGTATTTCATAATTCACATTTGACTATTTTGGAAGATTTTGAATTGAAATGAACAACAATAAATTGCGAATAACAAATTATCAAATACAGTGAGACAGTGAAATGTCTATTTGTTTTAAGTTCATTAAAGAAAATTGGTTATCATGGTAGAATATGGATAGGTTTCACTTGTGGCAGACCTTATAAATTCCCAAAAAATTTGCCTGAGCTTGTGCGATCTACATACTATAATAGTTGTTTGATTCTTTTTTCATGCATTATTCTTTTCAGCTGTTGGTTGCTCTCAAAGTGAGATATCCTCAAAGGATTATTATTCTACAGGGAAATCATGAAAGCTGACGGGTATAATTCAATGGCTGCATTACTTGGTCACATCCTTTCTCCCTCCTGATAGCCCTAAGTGTGCTTCCTTTTTGTCTGTCGTTGTGCCTCAGAATATGTTACTTTGGCTTGAAATTATAATGGAAATTGTATTTGGTCGAATCTATAATTATTTTTCATTGTACATCAGACATAATGAAATGATTGTTCCTGTCTTTGCTTTTTATCCCTTTTTAGTCTAATGCCATTGAAGTCCTCTTACCACTCAATATTTTTTTTGAGTTTTGCACGAGGTATAATGGTTGGTGCTGAAATTTTCAATTTTTGCTGCAGATTACTCAAGTTTATAGGTTTTATGATGAATGCCTGAGAAAGTGAGTTTGTCGTTTTCCATATATTGGCTTACTTTCTAATAGAAGTGAGTTTGTTGTTTTCAATATATTTGCTTACTTTCTATTATCATAATGGTTTGATGTAGAATATTAAAATAACTTTCTATTATCATAATGGTTTGATGTAGAATATTAAAATATTGTTCTCATTCTTCCCTCTAAGATTCATGTTTATGCTTTCTGTTCTAAAAAGAAACGAAAAATAATGATAAGGAACACGTGTAATAAATTAAATCAACTTATATCTTATCCTGGAAGAACAATAAGTACACACTTGAGAGTTGCACTTTGCTTCTGCGTAAACCTTACGGGTGTGTTTATAAGTTAATCTAACAATTCCTTAACTTTTTTAGTGCTTTATGTTGCATGTAAGTTTGTCCCAGTTATGTTTTTGTGGTTAAGCTATACATAATTTACTCTTTAACTGTTATTTAACTTTTTTAGTGCTTTATGTTGCATGTAAATTTGTCCCAGGTGTTTTTTTGTGGTTAAGCTATACATAATTTACTCTTTAACTGTTATTTAACTTTTTTAGTGCTTTATGTTGCATGTAAATTTGTCCCAGGTGTGCTTTTGTGGTTAAGCTTTATATACTTGATCTCCTAAACATTCGACCAACAATATGGCTTGATCGTAATATCCAAATTCTACGTGCTTCAAATGTGTTCTTGAACAATACTTCTACGACTTTGAACTTGTCACACAATTGTGGTACAATATGTCTCCCTTTGTATGATTGTGCAATGTTGTTGCCTAACTTTGATGTTTGTTAAATTGCTTTTTAGCTTTAAACTTGCTTCTTATACTCAAGGCACATGCATGGTTTTGCAATTTATTTTTTAAATAATTCTTTGTCCTGCTTTTTTCTTTTTCTTGGTGAGTTTGCACATACCTGGTCATTTACATGTGTAATATGGCTAAGTTGTGTTGATCTACTTCTTGCATTGTGCAGGTATGGTAATGCCAATGTGTGGAAGATCTTCACAGACTTATTTGATTATTTCCCTCTTACCGCATTGGTTAGTGTAATTTCTTTATTGACGTAATGCCTACGAACACTGTTTTAAGATGTTATCTGAAAGACTACTGTTAATTTAGGAAGTGTGATAGGCAATCGCTTTTTTATATATCATCAGGGGACAGCATATTAAATTTCACTGAGACAGAAAAATGGATCTCTATACATGTCGGAGTGTAACTATTAAATTTTTTTTGGTTTTTGTTTTCTGCCACCTGTAGTCAATAAATGGGTTGAAAAGGACATTAGCAATCTACACATGACGAAGGAAAAAGACACAGTAGGTACTCGTGTGTGTTTATCAATTATGCCATGTGAACATGCTTCAAGCTGAGATAGAACGGTTTCTTCATTGCATATGTTCTTTTAGAAGCATAAATGTTTCTTTCAAATTAAAAATTGTTGGAGTGAAATTAAAATTTAAAACTCTTTAAATAGAAGCACACTATCACTTGTCATTCTGTAAGCCCACTTTACCTGGAATCTCAACACTTTTTAGTACATATCTAAGTTATACTTTCTATTATCATAATGGTTTGATGTAGAATATTAAAATATTGTTCTCATTCTTCCCTCTAAGATTCATGTTTATGCTTTCTGTTCTAAAAAGAAAAGAAAAATAATGATAAGCAACACGTGTAATAAATTAAATCAACTTATATCTTATCCTGGAAGAACAATAAGTACACACTTGAGAGTTGCACTTTGCTTCTGTGTAAACCTTACGGGTGTGTTTATAAGTTAATCTAACAATTCCTTAACTTTTTTAGTGCTTTATGTTGCATGTAAGTTTGTCCCAGTTATGTTTTTGTGGTTAAGCTATACATAATTTACTCTTTAACTGTTATTTAACTTTTTTAGTGCTTTATGTTGCATGTAAATTTGTCCCAGGTGTTCTTTTGTGGTTAAGCTTTATATACTTGATCTCCTAAACATTCGACCAACAATATGGCTTGATCGTAATATCCAAATTCTACGTGCTTCAAATGTGTTCTTGAACAATACTTCTACGACTTTGAACTTGTCACACAATTGTGGTACAATGTGTCTCCCTTTGTATGATTGTGCAATGTTGTTGCCTAACTTTGATGTTTGTTAAATTGCTTTTTAGCTTTAAACTTGCTTCTTATACTCAAGGCACATGCATGGTTTTGCAATTTATTTTTTAAATAATTCTTTGTCCTGCTTTTTTCTTTTTCTTGGTGAGTTTGCACATACCTGGTCATTTACATGTGTAATATGGCTAAGTTGTGTTGATCTACTTCTTGCATTGTGCAGGTACGGTAATGCCAATGTGTGGAAGATCTTCACAGACTTATTTGATTATTTCCCTCTTACCGCATTGGTTAGTGTAATTTCTTTATTGACGTAATGCCTACGAACACTGTTTTAAGATGTTATCTGAAGGACTACTGTTAATTCAGGAAGTGTGATAGGCAATCACTTTTTTAAATATCATCAGGGGACAGCATGTTAAATTTCACTGAGACAGAAAAATAGATCTCTATACATGTCGGAGTGTAACTATTAAATTTTTTTTGTTATTGTTTTCTGCCACCTGTAGTTAATAAATGGGTTGAAAAGGACATTAGCAATCTACACGTGACGAAGGAAAAAGACACAGTAGGTACTCGTGTGTGTTTATCAATTATGCCATGTGAACATGCTTCAAGCTGAGATAGAACGGTTTCTTCATTGCATATGTTCTTTTAGAAGCATAAATGTTTCTTTCAAATTAAAAATTGTTGGAGAGAAATTAAAATTTAAAACTCTTTAAATAGAAGCATACTATCACTTGTCATTCGGTAAGCCCACTTTATCTGGAATCTCAACACTTTTTAGTACATATCTAAGTTATTTTACCCCCTTGTTTTAGCCTTTCTGGTCTCTTAGGCAGGGCATTCTTTTGTTGATTTAGTACACATATCTTTTTTATATGTCCAGGTTGAGTCTGAATTTTTTTGTCTGCATGGTGGATTGTCACCATCTATTGAAACTCTCGATAATATACGAAATTTTGATCGTGTGCAAGAAGTTCGTCATGAGGGACCCATGTGCGATCTTCTATGGTCTGACCCTGATGATCGATGTGGTTGGGGCATCTCGCCCAAGGATGCTGGATATACATTGCTTATAAATCAATGCTAGTAAAGAACTCTTCACTTATCATGACTTTCCAATCCATATTGATGGTAAAGAAAATCCTTTTGTCCATCTATCTCTATAGTCAATGATGCAATTTCAAAAGAAAAGTAAGACCGATTACATCCATGCTATATAATACTTGCACTGGAGGAGAAGTAACAATCCTTATTTACATAACTAGTTACTAAACCTTCGAAATTATTTAGTTACGCTCTAAACATAATAATAAACACTTTTTTTGTAATCAAGAATAGCACCAGTCGGCACAACCCAAATTTTCGTAGTAAAGATGTAAGCTTCACTACTTGCAAAGATAGACATTATTTTTAAAAAGATAAAAAAAATACTACCTACAAAGGTAGACATTCTTCAAAAAAATTAAAAAAAAATAAATTAAATGCTTACTAATTCAATGCTCAAATTCATGAAACTCCGAGGCGTCGTCAAGAAAACTGGAACCCCATTAACAAAATCTGAAGAAAAACATCAAAACGTTAATAGTTAAAATTCATCAATTTCAGACATTGCTAAAAAAAAGGAAAATAAAAAAGGGGGAGTTAATAACGAGTGCGATAGTCTGGTTGTTATCAAGACATTAGAGGCAACAAAATTACTAGAAATTGATGCGGCTAGTCGTCGACTACAAATAGCATTATTAAAAAATAAGCATAACACACTTACACTACACACACATGTGTTTGTAATTAAGTTTAATTAAAAAGTGGCTTTGAAGAAGGCGGATTCCATGGGGATCCCTTCTGATGCAATAAGTGCATCAATCAGTTCAAAGCCCCCATTGTGTCTTGTGCTCTTATTTTCATTTTTTGTTTCTGCCCATGTAAAATTCAATCCAGCCTGCCTGTGTTGCTTTAATCTATGCCCAAAAGAAAAAAAAAATTAAAACCCAATTCAAAAACCCAACAAACTATCCCCATCCCTTTCCTTCTCCCTCTCCCTCTAGTGGTCTCTATCTCACATTGTTGTTCCATAGTCCCATATGCTTCTCTCCATCTCTACGCAGCAAGCCCTCCTGGCCCTCTTCTTGTTCTTCTCAAAATAAGGTTACTTCTTCTTGGATTTATTTCGTATATCCCTCTCCATTAATTTGCCTTCTTGTTATGTTTATCAGTTTATGCAGTAGAATTAATTAAGCAATAACTTTGACATTTATGATATATTTGCCTTCTTGTTATGTGTATATGTAGTAGATTTTATGTAAGGAATGAATATGAAATTTACATGACAAGTTTATTAAATTTTTCTTTCAATGTATCTCACAATTTGTGATATTAAAATCCGCCAACTTCTGCAACTATTGTGAATTCTGCTAATGGAAATTACACATCCAATATATGTGTGTAACCCCGTCAGCATCACTCATGAGTACTTTGCAGTCTGTAGATATGATCTCAAATTTTCAATTACAATCTTAAGAGGCTTGAGTATGTATATTGGCATGTCGAAAACAAGTTTTGCTCCTGAGGATAGAATTTATTTACCCAATTAGTTAATTTTCCTATAATCTTGTGTAATAAGTCATTATAGAGGATGTCCTTCTTAGAACCTTTATATATATGATGTTTAAGTTAACAA